ACACACACACCCACGCACACACACACACACACACACAGACACAGACACAGACACAGACACAGACACAGACACAGGCACAGGCACAGGCACAGACACAGACACAGACACAGACACAGACACAGACACAGACACACACACACACACACACACACACAGACACACACACACACACACACACACACACACACACACACACACACACACACACACACACACACACACACACACACAGACACACGCAGAGACACACACAGAGACACACGCAGAGACACACGCAGAGACACACGCAGAGACACACACAGAGACACACACACACACACACACCCACACACACACAGAGACACACACACACACACAGAGACACACACACACACACAGAGACACACACACACACAGAGACGCACACACACGCACAGAGACGCACACAGACACGCACAGAGACACACACAGACACACACAGACACACACACAGACACACACAGACACACACAGACACACACAGACACACACACACACACACACAGACACACACAGACACACACAGACGGACACAGACAGACACAGACACACACACACACACACACACAAATGCGCGCACAAACACACACACACACACACACACAAATGCGCGCACACACACAAATCCGCGCACACACACACACACACAAATCCGCGCACACACACACAAATCCGCGCAGACACACCCGCACCCACACCCACACCCACACCCACACCCACACCCACACCCACACACCCACACCCACACCCACACCCACCTCGCCCACGCCCACGCACACGCACGCGCATGCGCGCGCGCCGCACGCGCACGCGCACATGCACACGCACCCGCACGTGCACGCGCGCGCACACACACACACACACCCACCCACCCACCCACGCACGCTTGCACGCACGCACGCAATCGCACGCACGCAATCGCACGCACGCAATCGCACGCACGCAATCGCACGCACGCAATCGCACGCACGCAATCGCACGCACGCAATCGCACGCACGCAATCGCAGTCGCACGCACGCAGTCGCACGCACGCAATCGCACGCACGCAGTCGCACGCACGCAGTCGCACGCACGCAATCGCACGCAACGCAATCGCACGCACGCAATCGCGCTCGCGCAATCGCCGCACGCAATCGCACGCACGCATCGCACGCACGCAATCGCACGCCGCATCGCGCACGCAATCGACGCACGCATCGCACGCGGCAATCGCACGGACGCAATCGCACGGACGCAATCGCACGCACGCAATCGCACGCACGCAATCGCACGCGCGCAAGCGCACGCGCGCAAGCCCACGCACGCAAGCGCTCGCACGCAATCGCACGCACGCAAGCGCACGCACGCAAGCGCGCGCACGCAAGCGCACGCACGCAAGCGCACGCACGCAAGCGCGCGCACGCAAGGGCGCGCACGCAAGCGCACGCGCGCAAGCGCACGCACGCAATCGCACGCACGCAATCGAACGCACGCAATCGCACGCACGCAGGCACGCACGCACAGAGGTGCGCACCCTTTTTCGAAGGAGTCGTCAAATCTGGGATTACATCTATAATCTTGCTGCCCCAACTCAGGGGGCCTAGGCCTAGCCCTTTCTAATCTTGCTGCCTCAGGGGGCCAGCTTACAGGTACACATTGGAACGTCTTCCAATGCTGCACCAGAGAATGTGGGTGTCTTCGCTGGCAGTGATCCCACAGACTCTGCATGCGCGCACGCACCCCCGCGGGCCACCTGATGTGCAACCTTGTGCGCACCTTCGCGCGCACCATCGCGCTCCCCCTCGCACGCACGCAC